CTCCTCTGTGCATCTCCATTCCATAGCTTTTATTGCAGTCCTGTTTTGACCCTATCATCTCTGTCTTCCACAGTCTGAGTTTTAAAAGACCAATTCTAGCAAACCTGAACAGTGCTCAGATTCCCACCCACCCCACCCCTCACCACCCCACCCCACCCCAAGTTCCTTACTACATTTATAGATAGAATCCCACACACAACTTTAGATAATTCCAAATAGCAGCTGCAAACACTACCTGTAATGAGCACAATCCACCTTCTTAACCCCTAACACTCACTCCTTCTCCTCCCTTATGCTCATTCTCCTTCCCTCTAATTACCTACCCATCAGAGCAATGCTCTATATTCTCCTCCTCTCCTTCTCTCTCATCTCCCTAAGGATCAAAATATCCCCTTCCATCCACTTCCCTCAACAAAACACTAACATTTACATTAATCCCTCTCTGCTACACTGCCCCCTTCTCTCATCTCAAGCCCTGCACTCATTTCTCTATTCTCTCTCTCCTGCTCTAACCCAATCTCACCCTAGTCGCCACCCATATAAAACCCACTCACACCTCCTGTCTCTATCTCTCCTCCTACTTCTGGCAGCTGGTGACGTATCTCCCAACCCAGGGCTCCTCACCTCATCTGCTCACACTAAAATAACCAGAAACCATGCAAACCTCCTCCAAATACCCTGCAGTCTATCCTCCTCTACCAAAATTCAGTGTGCACTCTGGAATGCTCGCTCCATTTGTAGTAATATCAAATCTACAGCTATACATGACCTCCTCATCTCTAACTCTCTCACAATACTGGCACTCACTGATACCTGGCTATCTCCATCCGATACCGCTACTCCTGCTTCTTTATGTTTCGGTGGTCTACAGTTCTCCCATACTCCTAGACTTGACTGTAAAGGAGGTGGTGTCGGCATCCTTCTCTCCCCTCAATGTACCTTTCAACCTATCCTCCCTGCCCCTACCCTATCCTTTACTTCCTTTGAAGTTCACACTGTACGCCTTTTTAAGCCCACTCCTTTAAGAATTGCCATCATCTATCGCCCCCCTGGTCACCCTAAACTATTCATTGAACACTTTTCCTCCTGGTTACCCCACTTTCTTTCCTCTAGCACTCCCTCTCTCATACTTGGGGACTTCAATATCCCTATCAACAAGCTCAATTGCCCTGATGCTTCTCGTCTCCTCTCTGTAACCTCCTCCTTTGGACTCACACAGATTTCTTCCTCAGCAACTCACACTGCAGGAAACACTCTTGACCTCATCTTCACCAATCTCTGTACTACCTCTGATCTCGCCACTGCTCCATTTCCTTTGTCTGACCACCATCTGCTAACATTTAACATCTGCATACCCCATACCAAAATCTCACCACCATCCACTCTCCAACCTCGCAGAAACCTCAACTCTCTCGATCTCCAGCACTTCTCCACTAAACTCCAAACACTCCTTTTACCCATCTCAAATCACAACTGCCCTAACTCTGCAACCTCAACTCCACTCTCTCCTCTCAACTTGACATCATGGCACCTCCTACAGTTAAACGCAGCAAGCGCCCCCAACTACAACCCTGGCACACCAAGCTGACCCGTTACCTCCAAAAAAGTTCCAGAACTGCTGAATGCTGCTGGAGAAAGTCTCACTTTGCATCTGACTTTGTCCACTATAAATTTATGCTGCGCTCCTACAGCATGGCTCTTTCCTCTGCAAAAGTAAGCTACTTCAACACCCTCATAAGCACACTGTCCCACCAACCCAAACACCTGTTTCACACTTTTGATGCACTTCTTCGCCCTGTGACTCCTCCTCCTTCCACCACCTTGTCCGCCACAAACTTTGCATCTCATTTCACTGAGAAGATCTCTACAATCAGGAAAGAGATCTCTAATCTTTCTCCAACCAGTATCAATACATCACCCAACCCCACTCCCCCTGCCACCCTAAGCTCATTTGCACCTGCTACAGCACAAGAGGTTTCTGCTCTGCTCCTGTCCTCCCGCCCCACCACCTGCTCCCTCGATCCTATTCCCTCGCATCTCATCCACACTTTGTCTCCCTCTCTTGCTCTTCCTCTCGCTAACATTTTAAATCTCTCCCTTTCCTCTGGCACATTTCCCTCTGCCTTCAAACATGCAACCGTAACCCCAATTTTGAAAAAGCCCAACCTTGATCCCAACTCCCCATCCAACTACCGCCCTATCTCACTGTGGCAAACCTAGCCACTTGGACTATATCAAGAGACTGTACCTTTAAGGATTGCCTGTATGTCGGTGGGGATATGTGTTCAACTATGTATATTGTATGCTGGCTGTAATACCTTGAATTGCCTGTATTTGCTATCCGCCGAATGCAGATAGCTATTTGTATGGGGTTTTCCTTTCGTTTCACGAACGGCACTTTGGCGGGCCGTTCGTGAACCGAAAACACTACCCCTAAAAGCCCACACACTTAGAGGCGTGTGGCACTTGTTAACTGATTGCAACAATGTTGCAATCGGTAATTAGAGGCTCTCCTGGGTGGCCGTCGTTTGACTACCGACCATGCGGCGGTTGGCCATCTTGGATCCTTTGTTCCCTCAGCGGTGTTAGGTCGTCGAGCGCATGGTACTAAAAACGGCTACTCGACGGCATGAACACCGCTGAGCCTCCAGGACGTTCGGGAGTTCCGGGCCGGTATTTCATTCCCTGGAAGGCAATCGCTCTTTTGAATATGTTTCTTAATAAATGTGTTTTTCGTGCGGCGTTCGGTTGGTTTAGCTGGGATCTGAGCGGTAATCTCACGAATGATGCGCTCAGACCCCAGCTATCTACCGAATGTCCATTCGTGCAAATAACCTGTATATTCGAAAAGTTACAGATTTTTATATAAATTGTCGGTTCTGCTGCACGGAGGGATAATCCACTTAACAGTATATTCCAGGAGGAGGATCCCTCTCGTGCAGCAGTGTCTGATGGGAGAAATGTTTTGTACTGTAAGTTCCCCATGTAGTCCCCTCTGGGAATGCCCCTGGGAAGGGACTCAGGAAACCCCTTGCATGGGGACTTGTATAAATTGTGAAGCAGAATTAAAGGACTTCAGTTGACTCTCAGAACTGTGTTTCGTCTGGTTACTGGGAGGTTGGGGATATTGCCTTGTTGTTTCAGCGCTTGACTGTGGATTACTTCCTGAACCAGCGGAATTCGTGGATTTAATATTGGCGTTTCGCTACACTCACTACTGCCATTTGCCTCCAAGATCCTCAAGAGAGTTGTCTACGCCAGATTGACAGACTTTCTTGAATCCAACTCTCTGCTTGACCCCCTTCAGTCTGGATTCCGCGCTGGTCACTCTGTCGAAACTGCTGTGACCAAAGTATCCAACGATTTAATTGCTGCTAAATCTCGCAGCCAATACTCTATCCTAATCCTCCTTGATCTTTCTGCCGCCTTTGACACTGTTGATCATCAACATTGGTCTACGGGATTCTGCTCTCTCCTGGTGCTCCTCCTACCTCTCCCAGCGCTCCTTCAGTGTTTCTTTCTCTGGCTCTGCCTCTTCTCCCCAACCCCTCCCTGTCGGCGTCCCCCAAGGTTCTGTCCTCGGCCCCCTACTGTTCTCTATCTATACTGCCTCCCTTGGTAAACTCATCAGCTCTTTTGGCGTCCAATACCATTTATATGCAGATGACACGCAAATCTACCTGTCCTCACCTGATCTCTCTCCGCCCACCTTGACTCGTGTTTCTGACTGCCTCTCTGCTATTTCCAACTGGATGGCTGCTCACTTCCTTAAACTCAACCTGTCCAAAACAGAACTTCTAGTTTTTCCTCCCTCAAGTGCTGCTACTCCTGTGTCTGTCTCCATCCAAGTCAACGGCGCTACTATCACCTCTACCTCCCAGGCTCGCTGCCTAGGAGTTCTTTTTGATTCTGATCTCTCTTTTACTCCCCATGTTCAATCGATAGCCAAATCCTGTCGCTTCCAACTCAAGAACATAGCGCGCATCCGCCCATATCTAACGCCGGACGCGGCTAAGGTACTGGTTCATGCTGTTGTTCTCTCTCGCCTTGACTATTGCAATCCCCTTCTCACTGGTCTTACATGTTCCCAGCTTGCACCGCTGCAATCTATAATGAATATGGCTGCGAGGCTTATTTTCCTGTCCGGTCGCACCTCCCACGCCTCCACACTCTGTCAGTCCCTGCATTGGCTTCCAGTTAGATATAGGGCCCAATTCAAAATTCTGGCGCTTGCTTACAAATCCCTACATAATGCTGCTCCAACATACCTATCCTCCCTCATACACAAGTATGTCCCGTCGAGACCCCTGCGCTCAGCCCAAGACCTACTCCTATCCTCTGCCCGGATCCCCACCTCTGATGCTTGCCTCCAAGACTTCTCCAGGGCTGCACCTATTCTGTGGAACTCCCTTCCCTCCTCAATCAGACTTTCACCCAGCCTCCATTCCTTCAAAAAATCTTTGAAAACTCACTTCTTCATTAAAGCGTATCAATTAAACTGTCAGCAGGTTTCTCATCCCCCACCCCATGACTCCGTTCCTTCACCTGTCAAAAATGACCTACCAAGCACTCAATAAACCCTTCTGTAACAAACTATTTAATTCCCCTACTTTAACCCTTTGTGTCACTATACCCCACTCCCTCTAGCATGTAAGCTCATCGAGCAGGGCCCTCAACCCCCTCTGTTCCTGTACGTCAGTGGTCTGATCTCAATTATGTGTCTGTTAGTCCACCCATTGTACAGCGCTATGGAATTTGTTGGCGCTATATAAATAATAAAATAATAATAATAATAATAATAATACAGGAAGTGTATCAGCCTCCATTTTGAGAAGATACAGTAAGCAGCAAGTCATGCTCTTCTCATCCCTAGCCATCACCCCCTGGAGCTTAAAAAGTGAGTTCTTGTTATCCTATCCTGTATTATTGATTATTGTTTCTTTGTTGTATGCAATACTGAACTGACTGATTTTATTTCTACCATTTGTAGTTTCACTTGACTTGTTCTAATAAATTTGAGATCAAAGAAATATGGTATCTGAAGTTTATGGAGCAGGGAGGTTTAGCTCTCTGTCCTACAGACAGAACACTTTATTCCCTTGCATAATTGGGTGATAAATCTTCTGTCTTTTGGGAATGGTGGCTGTATGTTGTGTTTAGCATTTGCTTGAGCCTTAAGTACGTGAACAGGTCTCTGGGGGGGGGGGGATTTATATTTCTGCCCTAATTCCAGGAATGGTAAAATACAATTTTCTTTGTATAGGTGTGCTATAGTTTCTATTCCTGCTTTCACCCACGTTTTGATAGGGAGGTCGGGCGTGTAATATTGTAGGCTCATTATAGATGCAAATTTAAGCGAATGATGGGGGCAAAAAGATTGGTTGTCCAAGTATTCCAGGTGTGGGCCACCAGACTCGTCGTGGTTAATGGATTGAGACCAGGTGGGTGGAGGTAGGGACGGACCCACATCAAGTGTGATATAGTGAGTGGCTGTGTAATAGCATTTTCAAACATATACCATAAGGGAATAGTAGCCCCTAATTGGGCTAGCGTGGTAGGGATATAGTATTTGTGGATATGAAGAGTGCCTACGCCTCCTTCGTGAAACTTGTAGTACATGTTTGTGGCTGTAATTCAGGGTGGCTTACGCTTCCATATATGTGCATTGAGCATTCTCTGAAATCTTGCCAACATTGGCTTTGGAATTTCAATAGGAAATGTGCAGAACAAAAAGAGGATTTGAGTACCATCATTTTAACCGTTCACTCGGCAAAGCCAGGATATAATTTTGTTCTCCCATTTCTGCATTGTTTAATGCAGGTATTTAACATTATTGATATGAAATTCACAATTACAGTGCTTGTGATTTTTTTTTTTTCTTATATTGTAATTCAATTTTTTAAGGCATATTTCTATTTATAGAAGTCAGAATGAGTGTATGAATGTATGTTTTAGGTTTGGACCCTCAAGATTGTTTTAGAATATTTGTAAGAGAAGCTTTTTGTCTATTGCTATATTGTTTGATAAACGCTGGCACTTTATTACCTTTATTTCAATTTGTTTAAAACAGAGTAGTTTTACCTGAAATGTTGTTAACTTTTGTAAGAACCTTGCTTGACATGTCTTCCTTTTATTTGAACCAAACATATTTTAGCATTTAACCAATTTCTCTTCAAACATTAAATTGGTCAAAAAGGTATATCGTTAAGCCAGTAGACCTTATGGTGGCAGGTTTAAAATGGTTACAGCCTAGTCAACAGATATCACAATTCTTTATGGTCGATCTGATTCCACCTCCAATCCAAAATCCAATTAAAGTATATGCCATTTATAAAATGTTGTTTTCGGTTTAGTTTTTACAAAACAAAAGTAAAAACTATTTCTAAAATCCACAATAACACATTGTAATTCAAAGATTACAGATGATTAACTCTTAATTTTTTGCAACTTGCAGAACACCTTCCTACCCTACCATTTATAATAGCATGTTTTTGCTGATGTACAAAATATTATTTTTATGATATCGTAAAGCAAAATGGCAAAATCATTTCACAATATTATTCTGAACATTCTTTTTAGTAGTCTTGCCATCAGATTGAAATATTGTAGTCTTGTTGAATAATACGATATTCAAAGATGGAACAGTTGACCCTGAAAGAGCACCAGCACAAGAATCCAAAGCATGTCTAATATAGCTACATACAGTGTGAGTGATATTGAATAATGACATATACAATGCATTCACTTAACATACTATGCATTTATTGTTTTCTATTGCTTTTGTCTTATATAGTGATAATGAATTTAAAGCAACAGTACATAGACAAACTCATACAAATTGTTTTCTGTCAATTTAAATGTGGACTATTTAACTTTTGTAATATGTAATTTAGGTATTACACGTTGTGTAATCATACGGCGCTTTAATTAATAATACTTCAATACTTTTTATCTGTATGGTTACACATTCAAAATAGCCCATTTACACTGCATGTAGCAGTCATAATTGTCCAACTCCTAATGTAAGCTTTTTTTATACCTTTAATATAAGACTTAATTGATAGGGTCCATATTGCAAAATGATTAATACATTACATTACATTGTGACAAATTGGATGTTTTTTAATCAATCCACTCATTTAGCCTCCCTCAAGCTCTAAATGGGTTTGTACATTTTGGTACAATTATAAAAATTTTTGGTATAATTAATAATTTCCTGAAAATGTTTTTAGTATTTTTAGTTTATGGTAGCACCATGAATTACTAACAGTTTAAGAGTTATTTTCAATAAAAAATAATAATTTTTTATTAGAATTGTTTTTATATCTTGATATGTGGTTCCCTCTTTATAAATTCTGTTAGCTTCATCAAAAATATTCACTGTATCTATTATATTCTTTTTATTGATTCCACTTCCATAATTTTCTTCAATTTTAATAAAATACTCTCTTTTTTGTTTTCAAGTGCCTAAGGTCTTCTGTTTATTCAATTTTATGATTATATCATGAGTTTTTTGTTTTTTTTTAGAGGCCATATTCAAAATAAATGCATCATGGGCACTTGGTGAAAGACTCTCTGGCAATGCATGTTACTATTGTTCCTAAGGAGGGCTCCAGCTACAGCACCATATATTTGGTCAATAGTGATACAAAAGTTTTTGCTTATTACATTTTGGCATCCCAATTCAAAGGAATGCTGCCGTTCTTGGTCCATGTGGATCAGAATGTATTTGTCAACAGTAGTTGTATGACCAGGTGGATTGTTTTTTCATGCATCTGATGCACCAGAAGATGGGCTTTGAAAATAACTTCTGCCGCTGGGTTCCATCTGATACGTGGAGTTGGTTCGAGCCCCGTTTTTCATGTTTTGGCTGCATAAACTCTGCTAAAATGAAACTCATGCCTAGGCTACTTCTCCTCTTTTAGACTGTCCCTATTATCCCTGACTTTTTCTCCTCTCTAAACTTGGCATTACACCTCTACGTTTGGAAGGGATGTAGACTTAAACTTGCAAAGCTCCATCATGCCAAACAGCTTGGAGAGTTGGTTCTACCCTCATTATTAGTATTTGTAAACCTTTTTTATTTATATAAAGTGTGGGTGAACTTAAGCTGTATGGCTATCCCATAGGCTTTGGGGGAATGTGGGGGGTGGGGCATCCATGTCCATTTTGCTTTGGACCCCAAATTCCTTCAAACAGCCCTGGATGGCACCAGATGTATTGTATCATGGGCTGCACAATGCACACTTATACAATCTCCATCTCTGATTGCTTTCACCATATTGGCTGCCCCATCACTCACTACTGCTGTGCCTGCTGCCTTTCCAACCCACTTTTCTAGCATCAGATTATTAGATGGACTGTATTGCTGAACCATAGCCTCACTATGTAATAGAAAAGATATTAACTCTGCGTTATTACTGCTCATGTCACCTAATGGACCAGACATTTCTTTCCATTGTTTGTCGCTTCTTAGTCTGTTTACCCAGAGTCTGCTGCAGATGTGGATGACATTGGCTCTGGCTCATCGTCATAACCTTTTGAGGGACCAGTCTCCCTTACAGCCTTCTTTTTTCAAATCACACGTGGCTACTTTGTGCTATTTGCTTTTTTAAACTTTATTAACAATGCTATCTAGAAGAGAATGGGCTGCTAAATGCACACACATGCACATGCGCTAGCACACACACCCTTACTTAAACAGAAACAAAACGTAGGTGCACTGAATAAAGTAGGGAGACATTACTTTCTTCCTTATATTGTATATAGGATGCCTCTGATTTTTTTTATTTAAATGTTTTAAATGTCCTTTTCTTATTTTTATTTTCTTGTTTTACCTGTCTACAAAGCCACATTGGTTTTAATTTTTTTTTTATATAGTTGTCACCCAAATGTATATACTGAGAAGTGCACCTTTCTAATATTTGTTTGAAAATATTACATTTATCCTCTGTACTTTTTTACTAAATAGTTTATGCCAGTCATGAATTGTAACACTGCCCTTATCGTATTGAAATTAGCATTTTTAAAAGTATATGTTTAGTATACCCATTGTGCATTTACTGTCCTTGCAATTTGTGATTGCTATTTCCTCCCTTACCTCATTAATAGTAATTATTATTATTATTATTATTATTATTAATATTTGGCTTTAACTCATGTTTGACATACAAACATACGCCTTTACCTTTGCTATCTTTTTCTATCTAACCTAAATAGCCTGTAACCATTTAGGTTAAATGCCCAGTCATGCATCTCATCCAACCATGTTTCTGTTATGCCTATTATGTCATATGGTTTAGTACATGCTATTTCCAAACATACATTTAATATTGTCATGAGTGATTTTTTATTACATACCTCCTCTAACAAATATATATATATATACACACTGCTCAAAAAAATAAAGGGAACACTTAAACAACACAATGTAACTCCAAGTCAATCACACTTCTGTGAAATCAAACTGTCCACTTAGGAAGCAACAGAGTGACAATCAATTTCACATGCTGTTGTGCAAATGGGATAGACAACAGGTGGAAATTATAGGCAATTAGCAAGACACCCCCAATAAAGGAGTGGTTCTGCAGGTGGTGACCACAGACCACTTCTCAATTCCTATGCTTCCTGGCTGATGTTTTGGTCACTTTTGAATGTTAGCAGTGCTTTCACTCTAGTGGTAGCATGAGACGGAGTCTACAACCCACACAAGTGGCTCAGGTAGTGCAGCTCATCCAGGATGGCACATCAATGCGAGCTGTGGCAAGAAGGCTTGCTGTGTCTGTCAGCGTAGTGTCCAGAGCATGGAGGCACTACCAGGAGACAGGCCAGTACATCAGGAGACATGGTGGAGGCCGTAGGTGGGCAACATCCCAGCAGCAGGACCGCTACCTCTGCCTTTGTGCAAGGAGGAACAGGAGGAGCACTGCCAGAGCCCTGCAAAATGACCTCCAGCAGGCCACAAATGTGCATGTGTCTGCTCAAACGGTCAGAAACAGACTTCATGAGGGTGGTATGAGGGCCCGACGTCCCTGGGTTCCTCCTAATGCAAGACAATGCTAGACCTCATGTGGCTGGAGTGTTTCAGCAGTTCCTGCAAGACGAAGGCATTGATGCTATGGACTGGCCCACCCGTTCCCCAGACCTGAATCCAATTGAGCACATCTGGGACATCATGTCTCGCTCCATCCACCAACGTCACGTTG